TGTGCAACATTGGAGAAATGTTTAACAAATGTGGTTGGGACAACCAACCGTTGACATGTCAGGAAAAAGTTGCACAAAGGCATCTCCAGGTTTTCCTCAACATCGAGAAGTCAAAGACTAGCTTCAGAGGCAAAGCGGTGGTGCAGCACACTCGCGTGTCTGATGAGCTGACTATCTCTGTAGCTGAAAAGAGTGTTAGGTCTTCTGCAGCCTGGCGAACGGCTGTATCCTGCTGCGCCGAGCACGTATCGGAGGCGATGGGATACTCTGAGCTTCGTTATAAGTTGTGGAACATGTAAGTGTATTTATAAGTCCACTTGCAGAAGATGTAACGGTACTTACAAGTTCCGCAACTTCCACAACTTCTACCGGAACTTGTGGAAGTTATAAGTTCAATGCGTAAGTTCAACTTAACTTCACATAACTTAAGTTGTGAAAGTTGGACGGCACATACGCGGAAGTTATAGAAACATTCGAAAACAACTTTTTCAACTTCATATAGAACGTAGCCTATTTTTGCGTTTCTATATAGCTTTTTGGCTCAAAACACACTGTCGATCTGTTGTCCAAGCCAGACTTTTGAGCATGTCTTCGGCGGAGGCACAGAAAGGCCGCAGGGCCATGCAGTCTTATGAAAAGTTCTCCCAGTTGTTTCCTGGCACTCTTTGGGAGCGTGTGCGGCAGACCCCACACCAGGGTGATCGGATCTTTGAGATCATGGAGTTTCTGCACTCAGGTCTATGGCTCCGATGCCCAAGTGAGGGAACATTGGCCAAGGTCGTCGCTGTCTGCGTCGCCGCAGAGAGCGGTCGAGCGATGAGCAGGTTTCGCATGCATGAGCTGATGGAGCAAGTCCGTGCAATTTGGAAGTCGCTGACGTCGAAGCATAGGCTCCAGCATGGCGAAGTGCCAGAGTTCTTGCTGACGTTGCCTGGCAGCAAGGAAGACCTACCCGAAAAGTTGAAAGAACAATTGGGGGGGTCATTGGGAAGACATTAGGGCTTGTCCGTTCGCGAGTGCGCATGATTTGGACAACTATGCTCGCTGCGTGCCCCTCAGGAAGACAAACCTGGCGGTAGTGCCGTCGAGTCAAATGGCGCTCATGCAGGGCATGTGCATGAATCCAATGGCTGCGGCGTGCGCCTGGGCCACGAACACGGACGCACAATTTGGGTCTACTCCGCAACCTTATTGTGTATCCGACGCGACACAGCCCAGCACCTCAGGCGGCGTTGGGGTCGGCCGCCACGCAGGCAGCAAACGCTCAGCCGAGCATGCTGGCCCTCACCGCGCCCGAAGCCAGCGCTCCTGCAGAGAGAAGCCCCGCCCCGCCAGCGAGCGCTGTCTCGGTGGAGGACTTGGAGGACTCGCAAGCGCCAAATCCTTGCGGACGCATGCCGGCTCTGACAGCGGAGGACCTTTCAGGCAACCAGGCAAGCGCAAAAGAATGCGTCAAGGAGGAGGCGGAGGATGAGGTCGCGGCGAAGACACAGGAGGAGAAGCCGGCAGCGTTGCGCGAGGCCATGACCGGCGCACTGCGTGAGACAAAGGAGGCCCAGCGGGAGAGAGCAAAAAATGCAGGACCAGCGAAGGCGAAAGCGGAGCCCAAGGCCAAGGCCGCAGGAAAAGCGAAACCCAAGGCTAAGGCCAAGACTATGAAGAGGCCTGCTGCGGCACACGGCGCGAGCCCACGCGCGGAAGCGCAGGCGCGCAAAGCGGTCAAGAGGACAGCCTCGGTTTCCGTGGACATCGCGCAGCAGACGGGCGAGACAGAGGAGCCGGGAGCTGCGCACATGGCATGTGGCGCCGGGAATTTTGTTTTCCATAGCGCTGTCTATGGTCATTGCAAAGGAGAGTTTTATAAAGCCAAGTCCTATTTGCGTTACTGGGACGCCAGCAACAAGAAGTTTTCCAAAATGATCATTGGGAGCCAAAGCACCAAGCACGAGGAGTTATGTCGACGCCTGGTTCCCCTCGTCCGCGCAGGGCACAGCAGGCAAGAGTTGGTGCGGCAGCGCGACGCTTGGGACGTGTGAGAAGGGTGGCGCGCGCAGACCCGGCAGCCTTGCCCAGGCCAGCGGCTACGCGCCGACTATGCACGTTTTGCAACCGCAGACCTTCGGGTCGATCTGTATACGTGGCTTGGGAGAACTTTCCGAGGAAAGCGTGCCTGAGCTTATAGAGACAGCAAACAATTCGAAATTATCGAGCGATGGAAAAGAGGCGGCGCCCTTTCCTTTTTTCTGCGGCGTTGCGGCTCAAGGGACAGCCTACGGCTCATCGCACCTCTGGGGGCGGCGCATCTCTTCTTCGTCCGTTGGCGGAAATATACACGCGGGAAGACACCGGGTCTTCGTTGGCGCGAACGCCCCCCACTCTGCCGAGTGGGAATAGGATCGACCGGAGGCCAGAGAGAGAGCCTCTGGCGCGTGGGGAGCTGCGGTTCCGCATAGCCATGGAGAGACCACGGGCATCCTGCACGCAGGATGAATGTGCTGCCTGTCCATATACGGACAGGGCGCAGGCTGCGCGACGGCAGTCTGTGTCTTCTATATTGGACTGGGCGCTACAGACGCGGGAGCCCGATCTCCTGGCCGAGACACAGCCCGCGCGCGCCAGCCTCCGGGTTGGCAATATTGGGACGCAGGCTACGCGTGTCTGGAGTGGAGAACCTATAGTATAGACTTGCTGCTGTATAGTGGTTGCTGCTGTTGCTGTTCCACAGTTGTTTAACATTCATTCATTAATTTGTCAATGGTTGCTCTTGACAAATTGACAATAAGATGAAAAGATAAAGTCTAACAATTTCATCTAATTTTTTCGAAGTGATATCTTGAAGACTGAACATGAGGGAAAATAGAGTTTAACA